ACTCTTGGGCACAAGATCCAGCTGATACAAGTTAAAGCAAACCTGAATGTGCCCTAACCTGCACTGTGTTATGCACTGGGGCATGGTCAGTCTAGGTTTGTTACCTGAAGCACAGGTGTAGCCCAGATAGGTTTCCCAGGGAGCTGGAGATCTGGAAAGGTCTGGTGTCAGAACTATTGGGAAGTCATAACTGAAGTCGGGACAACTCAGGGTCAGAAACTGAAGCTGGTGATGAGGTAAAAGAAGGGTTAACTAGGAACAGAAGCCAAAAGCCAGAGATGAAAGTCAAACCAGAATCACAGTCAGGGAAATGGAATCAGGGAATGGCCAGAGCTCTTACTGGAAGCCAGAGTCAGAGCCAGGAGTCAAAACCAGAAGACCAGCTTGGAAATGCATAGAAGGTCAGGAGCAAGAACTTTGGTCTTTGCTCAGACAAAAAGACTGCAGGCTGGGCCTGCCTTTTAAGGGCTGGAGTGGGTGGGCCTGTTGCCTGTGGCTTCAGAGGATTGATTGCCCTGATTGCCTCAGCCCTGCTGGGACCAGGGTGCTGCTCTGGGCTTGCTTCAGGTGGCACTTCTTCTAGGGATGACTGGATTGGGACCATCTGGGTTCAGGGTTCTGGCCTACCCTCCATACACACAGAGAATCAAACCAACTGCTGGATGCCCCTAGTGTTTTGAGAAGAGGTAGCAGGAAATATTACCTCCCTGACCAAATGAAATGAACTGGTGTTTCTGATGATCTGGCTGAGTCTGTTATTAAAAGATCCAAGGTACAGAGTATCTGTATACCTATAGTTTGGTGCTTAGTTCTCTCCTCTGCCCAATTTTTCAACCACCATTCTCAATGTGTCCACCTCAAATGGAAAGTGACCTGGTTTGACCAATCAAAGCTCTTTAACTTACATTTTTGCCCATATTTTCTGCAAAAAAAAAAAAAAATCTCTCGCATCAAACCTGCAGCACTTAAATCCAAGATCAGGGCTGTCATGTCTTGCACTGCCCCAGTTTGAGGCAGCACACTTCAGGAATGACATTCCACTCTGCCTGGCAGGGCGGGGGAGGACAGAGGCACCACATTGCCTCTAAATAGGCCAGCATGAAAGGACATGTCAGGACATACTGAGGAAGGTGCTGCTGGCTCCATGCTTATGTACATCCAACGGCTAAGTGGTCTCTGTTGGGACTGAACTATAGTGCTGGGCTCTGCTCACAGCCTTAGGGTGGATTCCAACCCCTCTTTAGCTCCTTGCAGAAAGCCCATACATTATTATTGCTTTCATATAGCAATCATGTATATAGCACCATGAATGCTCCTGGCATTTTTTAGATGAATAAAAGTGTGTGCTTGGCCCACTGTTTTGGCAGGCAGACAGTGCTGAATTTCACCCTGAGAACTATGTTTTAAGTGAAATAACTGCCCTTCCCACTTCACAGAGAGGTTATAAGGATAAATTTACTCACCCTGCTGCTATCCCAGGGATCATGTCCCTTGACCTAAGACAGGCCTTTGTACTCCAAACTGAGTATACTATTCCTACCTCCCTGTAGGGCAGTGATTCTCAACCTTTTTTGTACCAGGACCCATTTGTAAACATCAATGGCCAGTCCTGACTCTCTTCCCCTCATTTCCAACCTGCTGCTACCCAGGCCCCAGTCCCCCAGTGTGTGGGGCAGCTGGGGGAGGGAGCATGGGGGGTCCCAAGCAGCCCCTTGCAGGCTGGAGCTATGCCAGCCTGCAAAGGAAAAACCACTGTTGCCCACATTTTTCTCCTTTAAAGAGGAATCAATTAAAAAAAAATTGGCAACCCTTTCATATATGTTGTTGACACACTTTTGGGTTCCGACCCATGGGTTGAGCAATGCTGCTGTAGGCAAGCTGCCCTGTTAGAAGCCCCATTTTACGCCCTTCCAATACATCTAGACTAGGAGGTTTCACAGGAATAACTATGCTGGTATCATTATCCCCTCTGTGTAGACAGGGCCTGCATAAATGGAAATTTCTGTCATTTACTTCCCTTCTGTTTTCTCTTAGCTATGTGATGGATTGCTCTATCTGTGGCATTTGCTTTGATGCTTGTTAATTTGATGTAAAAGGCTCTTTGGTGACTTGTCTTGATGAGTTTTCAGTTATGCCACTGTTCTCTATATTTATTACTTTGAATATAAACATCAAAATTTAAAAAACCCAGCACAGATAGCTAATGAAATAAATATAACCACTGTGTTGCCAGCTCTTGGGATTTTATTAAGTCTCACAAGAGTAGCTGCTTTTTTCTCTCAAGCTCCAGCTCTTGGTTTTATGTGAATTCAGAAGAATTTTAGCTTTCATTTTAAAACTGTGTGAGCCCCTAGCCTTCATAGCTATGGAGGAAACTATGACCCTGAATGGTCTAAATCAGAATACAAATGAAGAGATCTAATAGTTATTTTAAAATCCTGTTATATCTTTTTAATTCAGTATTGCAACTACGGGAGACTGTTACTCATCTTGTTAGAGTGCTAAATGTTATCACACAAGCTACAGAACCTAGGCCTGAAGTTCTGTAGCTTGTCTCTCACAGGCTATATACACTGTGCCATGTAACATAAGGCTAGTCTGTTAATCTTAATTAATTTACATAATATTTTAAGCAGCAAATTCTACAGAACATTTATAACCACCATTCACAGCATGGGAACATGGTTAACAGGTAACACTCTAAAATAAGCTAACATTTTATTAATTCATTAATAATGATTCATTCTTTGTTAGTATAAACTGCTTTAAAAGAAAAGCAATTATGCCATTCTAGTATACTGCAGAGCAATGCTAATAATACTTTGTCTCAACATGTTGCAAACATTTATGGTTATCAACCAATCTGTCAGATTGGCATGGGTTACATAACAATTAATTTGTCTGCCACTGAAATGTAGCCAGTCTTTAGGTGGAAAAACACAACAGGAAATAGTAACATGACACAAGTTTAGGGCAAGAAGTGGAGAAAAAAATGATATCATATTCAGTTTAGACTGCTTTTAGACTGTGTTGGAATAAGGCCAAGGCTGAAGGCTAGATTCTGTATAAATTGTTAATATCTATAATTTATGTTAAGTGGTGTTAAATGTGAAAGGGAGGAAGGGCAGTGTTGAAGTTAAAACACAGGCTTGGAGATTTACTTTCTATTTCCTGCTCTGCCACCAATTTCTCATGTGACCTGGAAGAAGAATTTCAGGCCACGATTGTCAAAACTATTCATTGGCTTTGTTACCCAGCTTGAGACAAGCAGGGGATTGATTTTCAAAGAAACCAAGACCCTGCAGGTCCCACTGAGTTTGATTGCATTGTGGGAAACTACTGCTGACAATAAGGCTGTGGACAGACATAACTTTCCACCACTTCAAAAGGGGAGAAGGAATTGCCACTCAGGAGTGTGCAGCAGCTGTGAGGGTGGAAGGGTTTCCTGGGCATGCTTCTCTGGGTTAGGGCTAAAAATGGAGGTTGGGATGTATCCTTCCTCAGCTGATCTGACTGATCAGCAAAAACAGGCATCACCCTTGTCCCACAGGGTTGGACCCTTGTCACTCCTAGGGCTTCAAGGGCCTTATCTTGTGGAAGAACAGCTCCAGGTGCCACACCCCAACCAAAGATGCAGCAGCTTGAAAGCATGCCCTGGGATTCTCCTGCAGAGCATTCCTGGGGCTTGCAGGCAGGGAAATCCCCAGGGAATACAGGATTGGGCCCCTGAGGCCCCTAGAGCACCTTCCCCAGTCTTGCTAAAGAACTCTGGCAGCTTTGGGCTGCCCACTCTCTCTCACCATAAAGCAGATATGTACTATAAAAAAGCAGTACAAATTTATACCACCTCTTGTCACAGCCACAATTTGGGCATTTGTGGCATGACTAGCAGCATAGATGTCTATTTACTTTTGTTTTGTGCCTCCATAAAAATGTTTATGGCAGCACAAAAGCGACACCCTTTTATAGCCTAAGGGTGCGTCCTTCTGTGTGTGCATGTCCAGTTTTCAGCACCTCAGACCCGATTGAGGTGCTGCAAACCACACATGGCACATGCACACCAGTTCTCCATGCCGCAGATTTGCAGCATGATGCCAGAATTTGACACTGGAAGATCCTGATGTAAAAAAAAAAAATCTCTGCAAAAAGTGGCATGGCACATGTAGTTCACACTGCTGCTGCTAGAAACAGAGCCTGGCAGGCCAGAGCCATGCTTTGGCTGCCAGCCAGACTTTGAACAGCAAGATTGCCACGACCGCTGCCCTAGGAGGCCAGGACTCCAGGTAAGGCTGCTGGGTCCAGCACAGGTGCTGACCCTAGCCTACACTACCACACCCGGGACAATTTGCCTTGCACCAACCCCACATGAAGGGGCATCAAGTTTGTGCCACTACTATTTTTGCCAGGGCAACTGCATGCCCCTGAATGTGGGGACATGCCCTAAGTGAGCTAAACTATTGTAATTTTAACCTGGAATGAAACAGGATATAAGTTACAACAGTTCTGCTACGCTTCTATCCTTATAAGAGCATGCAGATGTAACAGTTACATCCTACCAGCTTGTGCCAGTATCATTCCACACTGGTATAACTGTTATGTCTCTCTACTCTTCAGGTTTCACAGTGGCACTCAGGAAATCTAAGTACTTGCTTCCAAAGTGTGTGCTGTAATTTTCCCATCTGGAAAATGGCAAGAATGTGGTAAATTGAGGTGTCAGATAAATTAATTCATGTCTCCCACCACATTTTGTGTATGAAGTTTGAGAGCTGGAGGGAATCAATTCTGCAGTCATGCAAACATGAAACTCCCATTAAAGTAAACAGGAGCTTGGTGTATAGAAAGATGACTGGATCAAGCACTCGTACTATCTCACTTCTGGTAGTAGGACCTGTGATCTAATGTCTTTACCTCTCCTCTATGCATAATAATTGGTGACCCCATTGATACCTGCTTCAGTGTTTGCAAATAATTGTTGTTTATCGTTTTTAACCTTTTTGCAGGAGTGTTTGCATTTGGACTTTTTGCCACTGACATATTTGTAAATGCTGGCCAGGTAGTGACTGGGAACTTGGCTCCATACTTTCTCACGGTGTGTAAACCCAACTACACAGGAAATGACTGCCGGGCTCACCATCAGTTCATAAACAATGGGAATATCTGCACTGGGGACGTGGAGGTGATAGAAAAGGCGAGGAGATCCTTTCCATCCAAACATGCTGCTTTGAGCATTTACTCAGCCTTATACGCCACGGTGAGTACCTGGGACAAGTGCCAATTCACATGAAGAGATTTCTGTTGCTATGGCTATACGTGGACTTTTTTGTTTTCTATTCATGGTGGGAAAGAACCTATACTTTTTGTGTGCGTGTGTGACTGGAGTCCTTTCTAATCCAAATTCAGCCCTTGGGTAAGGTAGTGCAGCTCCCTCCACTGTCCCACCTGCAGGACAGTATGTCCTAAAAGCATGAGGGCCAGCTGGAAGGGCCTGGATTCCAACCCTGCCTCCGCTGCTGATTTTTCTTGTGGCCTTGAGGGAGCTATTTCACCTCCCTGACTCAGTTTCCCCATTGTAAAACAGATAATGATAATGCTTACCATGCCTCACAGGACAGTACTAACTTTAACTTAAGTACTAAATCATACTATTTTGATGGGAGTCTCTTCTGATTAGACCTAGGCTGAATTTTGCTCCCCTTCTCAGAGATAGAAGTCTACATACTGGTGAGCTCTCCCTTAAAATAATTTAAGGACAAATTTTGCCAGGATAATAAAATGACTGAGCCTGCAGAAGGGAATTTCCGGAGGGTGATACTGCTTTACTGCCAGGTCAGGAGTACTTGATGCCTTTGAAATCCCTTTTAATCATATCATTTACTCTTGTGTTCATAGAAACATTATAACACCCTGCAGTCATGCAAGACTGTCTAGTTAAAGTTTGTGCGGTGCTTTCTGAGCATGCAGGGGACTGGAAGTATTGGAATGAAGGTAGCCTGATACAGTACTCATTGAAAGCCCTGGTAGTCTTCCTGTTTTCTTGACAGGGTGAAATTCTACCATCCTTTGCTCCTCATTTTCCTCCCCAATATTCCCACCAAAATCAGTGGGCCGTCTCAGTAATTTAAGTACCCCACAAGGTACGAATAGCTCAATTTGGGTCAAAGGGGAGGTTTGAGGTATGGGTCTGTTGTCCAGCCAGTCAAATGCAGGCCTTAAATCTGCTCAGCCAGGATATTCACTGAATGATTCCAACTTACCTGGTTAGCAAATGCATAAGACTCTTTACTACTTGTATTTTGGAGCATGAAAGGCAAGACGTTTACCACATATTTTTTTTCAATGTCATGTAGATGCTAACAGTGATACAGAAGCATTAACTTACATGACCTGAGAGCACCCTCCAGGTACAACCTCTACATTATATCTAAGTGCATGGCTACATGGCTAACTTACCTTGCCACATAACAGCACATTCAAGCATCACACTGCTATGCATGAACTGAACTTCCTGAACTGGAAAGAATGTAGGCACGTTTGTGCAGCATGTCCAGCAGGGTAATTAGCACTGCTGAGTGACAGTGACGGTTAGCCTGCCCCCTGCTAATTAGCATATCCACAGCACCATGCAGCTACAGCTGTACTACTTCAGTTGTGAAGGCAACATGCACAGAGCAGCATGGTACACTGATTCTTTGAGGGCTCCCTCTTTCATGGTAAGTTAACCCTGTAGACATGACTTAAGATCCCTGTAGTTGTTCCCATACCCATTCCTTTGGGCAGGGCTTGTCCTGAAGTGCTTGGAAAGCACCTAGCACAGAGTGGATGCCACTGGAAAAATATTAAATAATAATGTTCTAGAAAGCAGGCTCTAGTTGGCTAGGACATTTGGGGAGCAGCAAAACCCTATGAGATACTGGCTCTGTTCCTGACATGCTGCCTTCCCATTAGAGTCCTGGTTCCAGGGAGACTTCTGACCAACACTACTCCTTAGTGCCATAGAGGAGGAGCTCTCAGAGGAGCTTAGATGCCACTAAAAGGATACTGGTGTCCTGGCTGATACATATTTTTCTAGAATCTGGGCTGGAGGAAGGACATTCTGTATCCCCTGCAGCCTCCCTGCACTCACTGTTTCCCAAACCCCACCCCAGCACATTCCCAATGAGGATCCTTCCCAGGTCTGAAATAGGCAATGCAGGGGGTAACTGTACCCCGCTTCTGCACCAAATGGGATTGAACCACTCTTGGAGTGTCCCTCTGTGCATCAATCTGCTAGTGGAGGAGGGGAATAAAATGGGCCTGACATATAAGAGGGAGATCATGTACCCACCTAAGGGAGTAAGCCTTTTCCTTTATCCCCTTCTTGTCTTTTCCAGTCTCAGAGTATCTGGGTGGTAGGAAGCTTTGGCTCTACTCACTATTTGACCAGGCATCACTACCAAGCCAGTGCTGCTGCTGCTGGTGCAGCCTGGTAGAAATTATCACTCCCACCCAAAGGAGTAGAAGCAGGAGGAAGTGTGACCTAGAAGTGTCTTTCTGAGTCATAGAGTCACCTTGAACTGCCTCTGGGTTGGTGCAGCTTACATTCCGCTCAGTGCTCACAGTTCTGCATACAGACACATTGTAGCCCTGAATCTCCTATCATTTGATTTCTCTGGGTATGCAGTTACCATGGTTACAGTTTTATAGCCAATAAAAAGCTAATAATTTGAATTAAACTAAGATTAATTGCACCTAATGCCTAATTGTTTCCTGTAGAATTATACTGAGGGGCAGTTTTACTGTTTGCGATAAACCCTGTAAAAGTGGTAGAGGCACTGAACCTAATCTGCAGTATATTAAACTGGATTTTGGCCACTCAATACAAGTGAAAGAGAGGATGGAGCATGGATACTCTGGGATGGAGAGCACACTGTGTGAATGCTCCCATCATCCTTCATACAGCTGGGGAGAGCCAAGAATCTACTCTACTTACTGAGCTAAAGTAACTTCTACAGAGTCCTTGCCCACGGCTCCACTACATTGCCATGTTCAGTATGTGACACAGCTGTGTGGGCCAAGTGCTGGACATGGGGTCCAATTGTCTGTTGTGTTGCTTTGTAATTTTGTGGTCTGTATGGGTTTAGGTTGATGCAAAAGAGATGGTGAGCAACCAAAAGCTCTATCTTGGATTCCTTACATACACCAAATTCACACTGCTCCAGTCAGTGTGTAGAGATGGGCAAGGAATTCAGAATGTAGCCCCCAGTTCAGTCCTTTTAATTAGGGAAGGGAGAATCTGTTGTGCCAGATTTGGAATCCATTGGGAAAGAAATGACAGGCTCCAGTTTCAGACCACACCTGGAAATATATGAGAGTCCAAGTTGTTTCTATGCCTTGGCTGCTGCATGTGTTTATTTTAATCCTCTAGAAGTGGGACAAGAATTGGTTTCAACAAGAGTTATTCTTGTTTTCAAAGCAGAGGCTTCCATTTGGTTAGAAATACATGCTTTTAATTAAATTTCTCTAAAAAAAAATAGCATACTCATGAATATTTCCAATCTAATAACTCATGGCAGAGATATCAGTGAGAAATACATATTTCATAACTACAAACGTGTTGTAATGTAAAACTTACCCAGGCCACATTAATTCTTACCAACTATCCCCCAGTTGCTGAGCAAGCTCGTAGCAAAGCTTGACAAAAGCTTACCAGCTCTTCTGACTGAAGCTAACGTAGTAGACTGGGTACAGTCTGTAGTCGGGGTCAGGGAGTGGAACTGCAACCACCTTTTTGAAGATAAAGGATGAGCTTTTATTAATGGATAGAGAACAGACATTACTTCTCAACTGCCGGGACTTCTCTGATGTCTTTGACATTGTTGACCATGAGATATTGCTGTTTCATCTGAGTAGGCAAGGGAGGAGGGTCAAGAGAAAAGCTTCCCAATCAGCAACACATCTGTCACAAGTGGCACAGGCAGTTTCTGTGTGTGGTGCATGGCAGATCAGAAAGGGAGCAGCAGATAGGGCAGGGAGCAGAAAGCAGAACTGCAGATTAGGCAGGGACCAGAAAGCAAAGCAGCAGTCATGGTGCAGTTTCCACAGGCTTGAAGGAACAAACCCTACAGCGTAGTTTAGAGGTACTCTTGGTTTCCACACTGGCTCCAAACTCCTCCATTGCAGCACTTAGAAGTACCACACTCCTATTATCTCACTTGGTCGCATCTTCGTCACATCTCAGATGGAGTACAACAATGTTATGCATTTGGAAATGAATTTTTCAGTGCTTAGAAAACTTTCAGCCAGTACAGAACTGCTTAGCAATGCAGGCTGCCACAAAACCATCAATTCCATCCCCCACCCTTTATGTTGGCTTTGCATAGAATTTCAGGTAGAGTTCAAGATTTTGGTCCTTATCCCCAAGCTACTCTATGACCTGATCCCAGTACATCTAAGACTGCTTAAAGCTCCAGGATGGAGTCTACAATGAACAGCTGTGCTTCTCTGACACAATGCCACTCCCAGGAAGAAACCCATCTATGTAAGTAAAAGAACTTTCTTGGAGGCTGGTCTGAAGCAATTCTGTGACCCCCCCCAGGAGCAATGGACCACCCCATCTTTTTCCTCAAGGGCAAAGGACATTTCTTTGACCGTGCCTGCTCTAGCAGAGATATAAGACAATGTATATGTTTGCTTAAAAAATACAGGAAAGAAAACAGACAGAAACAAGATACTCCATAGTGTTTGCTTCTGTTCCTAAGAGAAAGATGAGAGAAGAAACTTGTGCCAACTGTTAGTCAGATGGCTAGTTGCACTCCTGGAAGTGACATGGGTATTGTGGCAAATAGAATAGAATGCCTATTTATGTAATTGAATCATCCCATTTTTGCTGTATGTAAATGTAGATCTCTCTTGCTTTCTTCCCTTTTTAGCCATCCTCTTTTTATGTTCATATTCTCTAAAATCCAATCCATGTTTTGTAAAAACAAAGTTTCTCTTGAGGAAGGCCACTATCCATGGAAGGTTTTCCCAATGTCCACAAGAGCGCAAGTGCCAACAATATTCAGCTTTGAAACTTCCCCTTAAATTGAGAGAGGAAAGGTGTTGTATGAAACTACAATAATTTCCTAAATTTAGTGGGGGGTTTTAGCCATCCAAGCAAGAAAGAACTACAGTGATTATTCTTGTCTGACTGCCTGCCTGACACAGGCCAGGAAACTACCCTGGGATTCCTGCATCAAGACCTTAATTTATGGATGAACTGGAGCATGACTTTTGGGAAAATACCTAGTCTTTAGTGCAAGCATCCTGCTAATGAAGAATGTAATGCTTTCTGTTCTTGTGGTTAATTACCCTCACTGTTAATATTTTTCATCTAAATACAAGTTTATGTTTTTCCTCCTAGATTCATTCAGTCTTTCAGTCACAGTGGACTTGCCCAGTCGTCATGTTAGTTAGTTTTTTTCCCCATGTGAATAATCCAAGCCCCCTCCACTTCTCTCCAAGAAAACAAATATGAGTGAAGGGTTTTTTTCTCCCTGTATTACAGAATTTGCAGTTATCACAGCAGGTCCCAACTGTTGGGTTCAAGAGCTGATCATTTTCCCTGGGATACTATGAAATAAATCACTCCAGCAGCACTTGGCTAGTAGGCAGAGAATAACACTGCTCACATAATCCAGTTCTGACTCCCAGTTGATCCTTTGAATTGTCTTCTTGGGGCAGAGATGCAAAGGGAAAAAAGAATTGGTGTAATTATTCATACCACTGTGTTTCATTTTTATGTCATGTTTTCCATTGTTTCCATAGAAAACCTTTATAATAATTTGGCACCTTGTAACAATAGTCAGCTTTTTCCAATTTATCAAGAATGAGTGGATAAAGAGTGCCCCCTACTGTCCATTTCTGACCATTACGTCTCATGTATAATTTGTAAGTCTTTACTAAACAGGAATGGAGGGCTGTCACAGGCAATCTGTTTTATATCATCCCCTTGGTCACCTGATCAAGCTCCTAAGATCTAGTTTGGCTGTTTGGGCCCACTAGTCCTGTTGCTAGTCTGAAGCACCTCATCCTATGCTGGTTAAAACACTTTCTTCTAATATTCAGCCTTAATTTATTCTTGGCCCTAGAGGGACACAAGATGGAAAAGGACTTCTTTATCCAGCGAGTCCAAGAGACCTTCTTTTGCAGGTGATCAAGTCATACAGTCCCTTCCATAAATCAGGCAGGTTCCATCTTTCACGTACTTGGGTAGATAAAGGCTGCCTGTACGTTTTGCCTGAGAAATAAATCTTTATGACTAGCTAAGCCTTGTAATGCTGAGGGGTGTAATTAATTGATCAGAGCAGCACAGATGTGATTTTACACAAAAGCTGCTGTGCTGTCTGCCTTGCATATTGTATAGTAAGGGGCCAAATTCAGGTGGCATGCGTAGAGCTCCATGGTGCTGAAACGCTGCACTTGCATCGGGGTGGATAAAAGTGTAGTGTAGCCTGTGTAGTGAGCAGTGGGAGTCAATAGTGGACTCCTCCACTCCAGTCTCATGCTTGTCTTTTCCATTCCCATTTGTGTTCAAATAAGGTTGCAGCTAAGCCATTTTGCTTCTTCCTCTAGAGTCAGCCATCACAGGAAGTGAATGCAGAAGGTTGGGAGGAGGGGGGCAGGGGGCGGCTCTTACCACACCGGCTAGTGAGGTGCAGCAGCTTCCCCAAGCCAAGAAGAGGGAATGAGGAAAATGGGTTTAGATTAAGGGAGAACTGCACTGATAGATGCATAGGGGAAAAGAGAAGGGAAAAACCTTGAGAACGTGAAGTAAGGGCACAGTAATTTCTTTGAAAATGGAAGATTTAGTACCTCAGTAGTGGCATTCACCTACCCCAAGAGAATCCATGTGCATTTAGCCATATCCTTTGAAGAGCAGAGCTCCTCATGTATAGTTACCCTTATCAGAGATTATGGTATGCTACAGTAATGTCATGTCCACTCCACCTGATTGTCAGGATTTTGGGATGTGTGCAAGAGAGAAAGAGAGAACAAGGATAAGCACCTAGTTGGTGCTAATCATCCCCAGATGCTGGAACACATCAGCAGAACTTGTAAAATGATATTCAGTGCTTTGATACCCAGTATCACCACTGGCTCAGGAAAGAATACAAGGCAATTTCAGCCAAGCCAAGCCTTGTAGTACCAGTACCAGAACCAGCAGCTTGGAGTTGGTTTCCCATCCTCTACTCCATGCAGTTAGTATGAAAGCAAAGCAGATCTTTGACCCTTCCCTTCTTTGAGAATATGGAGAAGGGGCACAGTAATTTTGTTGCCAGTAGAATGTTTGGTACCTAAATAGCAGGCTTCAGGCACCCCAAAAGGATCCACGTACATTTAGCCTGACCCTGTAAAGAGCAGAGCTCCTTGCATGCACTGCTGTGCAGCTACCGAGCTACATGCACTCACGAACCTTCTACCCCTGAGACAAGATCACATATATGGGAATGAGTCTTTGCAGGGGCTTGCAGAAAACACGCACAGACAGCCATGCAGTGGTGTGGTTACAGAAAACAAAGCTACAGGGGGCAAATTCTATGGAAAATGGAAATGTTCTCTCAAGGGTCATCAGTCAAAAATTACTGGCCACAAATTACAGTATTTTCAGCTTTCAGGTTTTGGGTTTTCAAACAGCAACAACAAAATGGATTTCTTTTTCTGAAGGAAAGAGGACACACAAAAATGATTTTCACTTCATCAAACCCCCACGACCACCACCAGCAGTTTTCCATAATGGATGGTTTTTGACCTGCCTTAGGAACTACCAAGAAAATGCCAGAAGGGAACTTCTGCTCCCAGACCAAGAGTCCTCTCTGTGACTTTGCAATCCTTCTTTTTGCCAGCAAGGAGGGAGATGGTTCTTTCTCATCAGACCTATACATTGTGGGTTAAGTCCAGACAGCAATATATTTGGGGAAATCCTATTCTAATATATATTCCAAACAGATTTTCCTGGTCAGCCCCTGGTTCCTTTCATGCTTATGGATGGCAGTGCCCACTATTACTGCAGTGTAGGGTCATATGTTGTCAGAGACATTTTTTAGCGCACACAACTATAGGCATTAACTTTGCTCAACAAGCCAAGCTGTGCTTTGGAAGGTACAAAAATGCACTTAACTTACCACTGAAGAGGATTCATTGTGTTTACTTCATTATCATTGTGCTGTCAAATTTTGTTTTCTGTTACAGTATCTTTGTATTCATGTTACTCCTGTAATCACAGGCTCTGGAATTAGTACTCTTAAATTGATCCTAACGTAGTTTATTTTCTTTGTCAAAAATGCCTTTCAAATTAAAACAAGCTGGCAAAACCTAGAAGATCTACTTAAGAAATGCTTTGGAGGACAAGGAAAGTTCCTACTGTATAATTATATTTTCAGTCTCCTGTTGGGGGGGAAAAAAGGCCTTCCCATAATCTGCTCCATTTCCCATCCATTATTAAGTCCCAGAGTCTCCATGCAACAAAGAAACAAACAAAGAAAAAAGCCTAATTGGTTGCTAAGGGTCTATTTTTTACAAACTTGAAACTGCTTCAAAACTTATGCACTTCGTTGACTCAGGCAATACTCTCTGTGCTAGAGTAACTGGGTAGGTACATGGCCAGGTAGGACACAGATCCCCTGGCTCACACGCAGTAGTGGTTATGCATTGTGAGTGCTGAGACAGATGTACTGTACTGTTTCAGTTATATGTCAACCCCAAATACTCAAATTCAGTTTTAGGAAAAATCTGCTTTTCTCTCAATATAAATCAATAGGTACAGTTAAAAATCTTGAACTGATGTTGCCATTTATACCAGCCCAGTGGCCTGGCATGACTGAGTGGACATTTGACATTCTGGAGTTGATGCTCTCCAATATTGTTTTTTTCCTCCAGAGATCATCCTCTGCTCTGAGCCCCCTCATTCTCAGGGTTTTGTCCAGTTCCTAGCTTGATGTGACATAGCTAAGTGACAAGTGAGCTGCATGCGTTTTTTCACATGCGGCTTGCACTGTTTTTCAGATGTACATCACAAGCACAATTAAAACAAAGAGCAGCAGGCTAGCAAAACCTGTCCTGTGTCTGGGAACCCTCTGTGCTGCCTTCCTGACTGGGCTAAATCGCGTTTCTGAGTATCGAAACCACTGTTCGGATGTGATTGCAGGCTTCATCCTGGGAAGTGCGGTGGCTTTGTTTCTGGTAAGCCATCAGTCCCTACCCCTCTCCATCGCCACCCAATCCAAAGACAACTTAACATTTTAAAAAATCTTGTATTATTCTCTTGTTGCCTATCACAGCTAACTAATCAAGCTGCCAGCGATTACTTCTAATGTAATCTATTTGGATTTATCTTCTGAGCAAATCCTAAAATGAGGTCAGGCTGATATGAATGAATTAATAAGGTTAATGTGATGACATCCTGGTATCTACACAATGATTTTAGTTACTGTACAGGGCCCTCCCGGTGCTGTCCTGGGGAAGAGCTTTTAAGATGCAATAAAATACAGCTGATGTCAGAAAGGAGCCTGACTTCTCTAAATGTGTTGCATGTGAGAACCATGGCACTCACATTTCACAAGCTTCATTGGCTGCCTGTTGCATGACAAACGTGGGATTCAAGAGCTTACCCTTGGTATATAAGGCTCTAAACAAAGGGCCATTTTGTTACAGGGCAGGCATGAAACAAGTGCAGTAGAAAGCAGGATCAGACGAAGACTGACTTCCTGTCATACCACTTGGAGAAAGGGATTGCTCATGCTCACCCCTTCTCCCAGGGGATTGCATTGGATGATCCAGCATGCCAGCCAGGTCCTTCCAAACAAAAGGCTCTAGTATCAACAGTGCTTACCAAGGCCACTACTGGCACCTGTCCCTTGCTCCCTGCAGTGCATAGCAGGGTATTGGTACTGTGCTTGGAGATGGTTTGCAAGGTCTTTTTTCTCTCTTTCTTCAGATCACTTCAGGTCACTTCAGGTGTTTTTAATAAGAAATGTGCCTGGTTCCCTTTTAATGAAACGCCCAATATTCATTGCCTTTGACTACTTGGGAATAAATGTGGATGCTGCTCCTGGGCCTGCTGAAAGCTCTCAAACAGTAATTCCAGGGAAACATCCTTTCAGAAATAGAGTCCATACTAACAAATGTGCAAGCATCCCATATCTTGGGAGCAGACAGGAGGGTCCTTCCCAAGGCAGGGTACTTGTAATTTCTTTGTGTTAGGAAGGGCATTATAGAGCCTTGTCATCCATGAACTATCCAGACACTTTTGATGGAACAGGAGGCCAGATTCAGCCTTCAGTTGCTCAGACTTACTCCTTTGGGAATCACAGTCACATGTTTTGAGGCAGTGATGCTCGGCCCTTGCCTCACTACAAAGTTCTGCTATCAGCCTTACGTTGGCAATGGATGTGAAGAGCTCACATCCTTGTAGCTAACCTGGCTTACATGTCAACCCCTAGTGTGGATTCAGCTCTGCTGGCAGATGGTGTCTTCTGTTAGGAGAGCTTCTGTCTTTTGGGCGAGCTGGTGTAGCTTGGGTGGACCAAAAACTACTTCTGCCAATAGAGCTATGTAAATGCCAGGGGATGCAGCGCTCCTTTAATGAAGATGAGCCTCATCAGGCATTGGTGTTAACCAAAGAACCGTGGCACCATAAGCTTCCTGAAGTGAATAAGGGCAGTCATATTCCTGTTCAAGAAAACTCCTAAATATGTATGTAGTTGCAGGTTTTGCATTATTCATAATTCAGGGAAAATATGCCCCATTCACACAGTAAAAAAAAAAAAAAAAGTGCAAACATTTTCTCTGAAAAGCTGCAGGTGCCAAGTTAAAGAGCCACTTGTAGCTTGGGAGCTGTGGACCAAACAACAGTGTCTTAAGGTAATATTTGACCTAGGGAATACAGTGCCAATTGCAGTCAGTGGTTCTAAAAGAATACAGCACTTATAATCAAGGCTTCTCTTCTCTGAGAGAGAATAGAATAAGAATCGCTTCTGCCTACAGGGTACAGTTATGCTGAGTTACTAAGGTAAGCTCGTACTCACAGCTATGTCAGTCACACTGCTAATTGTCCAGCACTGGGACAGAGATGACCTTGAGCCAAATCCTCAGATCCAGCCACATCCCAAAATCTGCAAGAGTTTTTAGCAGTACCAAGTTAATGGACAGGGATGGAGATGCTTTTATAGTGAGGTTCTAGCTAATTATTCCAGGTGGGCAGCCTATGCTGACCTCTTTTGTTTTGTTTTGTTTTTCCCCTCATCATGTAGGGAATATGTGTTGTCCATAACTTTAGAGGAACACATGGAGCTCCTTCTAAACCGAAGCCTGAAGACCCACGAGGAGTTCCCCTCATGGCGTTTCCCAGGGTGGAAAGTCCTCTAGAGACGTTGAGTGCCCAGGTAGTATAAATTACTGCATTACAGACAGCCTTCAGAAAAGCTGTCAGTCACAGCTGGGTAAAAACTGGTTTAACACTACAGTTCAAACATATAAAATGTACAGCCCTGGTACAGCTCTACCAGCAGAAAAGGGAGCAGCATTGGGTGAGTTGAGTTCAGATATATGTAGCCCTGACATAGCCTGAAGTCCCACTGTTGTAAATGTTCTGCTGCCAGAGACGTGTCTCTAAATGGAGAGGCAAGATTTTGCATGGGCAGTGCCTTTGCACATGCTTCTTGAGAAGTGAATTTTCAGGTGTTTTTCTTTGCATGTTGGAACAGAATACTGGGTGGGGAGGGAGGTTGGATAATCCAGTCTAATGACACCTTGAGGCTTTCTTGGTGCTGTCTCTCTCTCCCTAAGGACTGACTAGTGCATGTAACGCAGAGCAGAGACTTTTGGGCGCAGACAGAAGTGCAACTCCCCACTGTAATTGAGAATGCTTTTCAGGAAGCGTTCTGAGTTGCAGTGATTCCCTGAACCAAACAGAAGTTCACTGTCGTTTCCAGGGGAGAGGGATCTAGCTGCTGGCTGCCAGTAGCAATGGTCTCTTTTCCCTGCCAGCTCCCTGCCATTTTTTCAGAATGGGAGGGGGGAAAGGGAGCAGAGGGAGCTCATTCTAGGGGTTCCCCAGCCAGCGCTGGAGGGTGGGATTGGTGAATTGGAGCCCACCCCCACCACACACCTTGGGAGGCTCCAGTACACCCATCCCATCCTCTAATGGGGGCTGAAAAAGGCCCAGACCGAATTCCCTCTGCTCCCGTTCCTCCTTCCCATTCTGAAAACAGCAACAGGCTGGAAGACAGGGCAGACACAAGTTACAGAAGACGCTCTGTTTTGAAACGTCTGCATCTGAACCCTCATGCAATGAAGGTTAACATTTTCACCTGACTGGCCATTTATTAAGCAGTCTGTAGCCATGCACTTGTGTTTGATCGTGGCTATAGGCCCCTTTCTGTGGCCAAATCAGGTAAAAATTATCACTTCTTTCTGCACTATGTGGCTCTTGGCATGCTTAGCAATTCAATAGTAATAACTAATAAATTAATAAGTAATGTAAGTAATAAATAAATACCTGCTCCCGAACTCAGCAGCAGAAAAGCAACATACTTTTACTTTGTTTGCAACCTAATAACAAGAGACTGGTGGGACAAATTTTCCCATTTATATCCACCTGACCCTATTATATTTCACTGGATTGCACCAGGGTAAGTGAGATGATTTGACACAGCAATTTCAAGGCAGAATATGTGCTGTTGACTAGGAAAGTGCAGTTTATTAGTTAATTTCTTCTGTGCTGCCTCATGTACAGATGTAAAATATACTTTCCACAGAGTTCCTGTTTAAGACATCATAGCACTTAAAAAACATCACTGCACTCCACAGATATGAATTTATACAGAGAGATTTGAACTGTTTAGAAAACGAAGGGTTTAAATTTTTGGGGGTATTTTTTTTCTATGGAAACTTTTCTTCAAATTAACTGAAAACAGAATTTTTGAGGCTTGGGTTTTCAGCTTTCATTGAAAAATCCAAAAGTATTAGAGGAAAGGTGACTCTTCTTGTGACAGTTCTGTTTTAATAAAATTGCAAGTGTCAATTCAACAAAAGTTTTTATGGAATTTTTTCAGCCAGCTCTGACAGATGGTGGGAGGGAGGAGGGGTGTAGATAAATTGCTTCCAGCTTGTAAAATGATATGTATGACTACAAAAGCCAGATATTCAGGTTTGTTTTAGCATTCATACTGCACCAGGAGAAAGCCCCCATTGGTACTCACATTCACAGTACATGAGACATCTTTAATGTTTGTCTTTCCACAAACAGAAAAACATCTGTGGCACTTGGACATTTGTGGCATTAATACCATAAGCCAAAATCTCTTTCCAGGGTTCAAGAGTAAGGTCTGGTCCAAAGCCCAGAGAAGTCAATGAGCCTCTCTCCATTGATGTCAGTGGGCTCTAGATTAGTCTAGGAGTAAGAAAACACATACAGCATGCATGAAAACACAGAAAATGTAGCTTTACTCTGAACCTATTCTTTGTGGCTGTGGGAGTGGGCACTCATTAGAGTTTCCCCAAACAATGAAGGTTTCTACAGATGGTCCCACATCTTCTCAAATATCACAGTCATGAAATGGCCCATTCCCTTGGTGTAATAGTACATGGTGTTAATTGGCAGCTGGCTGTGTCCATACACAATGGGCGCGTCTACATGTGTGCATTTATAGCGCAGAAACCGAAATTACCGCACTGTATGAGTGCACATCTACACATGCACACCCATACTGTGCAGTAAATATGGCAGGTTATGCTGACTTAAGTGTAAATTTGATACCTGCATCATGCAGGTATCAAATTTATACCCAATTAGTTACTGCACAGTAATGCACTTGTAGATGCCTTACTGCGTAGTAACACTGTGTGTGTGGACTGACTTGGGACTAACTTTAGTCCCAAATCAGTCCATACACAGCGTTAATGCACTTCAGTGCCTGCATGTGTAGACGGTGGCCTATTCCCACTTACTGCACAGTAAATTTAAGAGGGCATCAATGCACATGGAGACATACCCAGTATCTACCTCTCCATTGTTCCATGACTGGTTATTGTTGCATTGTTTGTATGGGATATTGTTTGTCTGTGAAGTAAACTCTAAAGCTGAAAACAACTTCAATGTGATCCAGCTAAGGAGACCTGACATTCCTCCTTTTTCCCATCTTCAACCATGTGCGCTGTTTGTCATGGGGAGCCTGCTCCCTTTTCTCCAGCATTCTGCTCACACAAGAGCAAAATGGCTTAGACCTAACTTTACATCACAATAGTGGGCAATGCATCTCAATTAATACTACTTTGTAGATGCACTGGCATGTGTCCGTGGACAGCGAGCCTGGTCCACTTGATGAGGAAAGGAGTATTACCCCATGGCACCAAGGTTCTCAAGAGTAGCAGTGAGTGTGTATCGCTCAGTTCTGCAGCGCCCATATGGGACCTGATTGTCAAAGGGCTGATGCCCTCCATGTTCTGAAAAGTAGGCCCCTTAAAGGTGCCTTAAGTTGGGTACCTGCAAAACTGAGACAACTAGAATCAATAATCTCTCCTGGAAATCTTGGCCTGAGTTAAAAGCAAGTTACAGTGGTCTTTGCTGTGACCTCTTCCCTCTAAGCCCTGAATTATTGGGGGAGCTCATTTTTACAGCGCCTAGTTCCCATATAAGGACTTTCCAAGCTTCTCAAATATTTAGACACTTCTTTAAGGATGTACCAGAAATATTCACATATTTACATTTTCCTTCCTATAGAATCACTCTGCCTCTATGACTGAAGTAACCTGAGATGGAAGGTGGCGACAGAAGCTATTTTTATTACCCTCCAGTACAATACTCCAAGACACACAGTTACTAAATGTCAGACTGTGACGACCAGTATTATGTTATGTCTAGTTAGAGGCTGATGTTTTTGTACATTTTTTGTATGAGGAAGTGATGTAGCTTGCCCTGATTTTTTGTCAGCTTTAATATATTTATGCCAGAATTTAAAAACAAAAACTACAAAAACTACAAAAAAACCCTAAACCCTTTTCTTGTTTAAAGCGTGCACTGAGGAACTACATCTATGGAATTGTTGATGTTGTTATGTGATATTTGTACACAAACTTTTTTTCTTTTTGGTTTTATATACATTGAAATAAAAATAATTCTAATAATTCCCCTTTACCTTTTGTTACCATAAGGAATGCTTTTGACAAAGGACCAGATTCTGGTCTCAGCAGCCTTGGTGTAAATCTGAAAAAAATGCCTAAATTTACTCCAGATTTGTGCAACTGTGATCAGGAATCTAGCCTAAAAAATTCTAACAGCATTCAGCTTCAGTTCAGCAAGTTACTTAAGTGAGTGACTGGTCCCAGTCTGTTTTGTTGGACTATTCAGAAACTTCAAATTAAGCATGTCCTCAAGTACCTTGCTAAACCAAGGGGTGGGTGAGTGGGTTAGGAAAGCCAGAGGATTGTGCTATTTATTCAAGAATGACTAAAATGATACGGTCAGTGTTTTTTTGTTCAGTTTTTTTAATGGACTTTGTGATGAGAACATGTTGGATGCTTAGAAAATACTACATTCTTCTATAATAATGGCTGTAAATGCTACAGTTGACAACAGCACTTTCAAATCCTGAACTCAGAAACAGCTTCCGCATGAGGTTAGGTGTGCATAGGAAGGATAGAAAGAGATGTTAGGATGTATGAGGCCATTAATATGGATTTGTGTAGTATTTCTGTCACGTAAATGTTTCATGATTGCATTATAAGGTCAAAATGTGAACTTGAGGCTGTCATGCTTACAACTGGTGCCAATGAGACAACAAGAAGTAACACCAACAACCTTAATGGAATTATATAAGATTCAGACTGGTGTGTCCAAGAGGTCAGGGGGCCTTCATAGTCTACCTTGGTTTAGGTGCACAGATTTCATTGTAGGGCTCCAGTGAGTCATAAAAGTAACTGGCACAGTCTGCAATAGCTAAATCCACATTTTTGTAAATCATATCATACAGAGTTTATATCAAAACTGCTATTTTACAGTTTTCACAGTATTGTTAAAAAAATTAAAATGAAGTGAGGGGGGCGGGGAGGGGTTGGGGAATGAAACACAATGACGACCATTTATGACAAATAGAACCAGAGCAAGTTTCATTTCATGGCTTTTACTTGTTTCTAGGGAATTTCCTGCATCTCATTCTTCTAGCATGGTGATATCTGATGTGTGTCTCCTTTAAAAAATGGAGCCTCTGTCCGTACTTTTACTGGAATGTTTACCTGACACTTCCATGTTGGTTCTTCTTGGCTCTTTTTGTATATTTTTTTTCCAAAACAGATGAAAAAAAATTATCACAAAAAATTGCATCCAGGATTCTGTCATTTGTTTGTGCCCTGGAGAAATTTGGGGGATACTCTTTGTGTGTTGCTTTACAGTGATACCACAGAACAACTCTGAGTGTCTTCCTGGGGCTCTGGTGTTTTACAGTCTTGGGCATGGGAGAACATGGAAACTAGAACTGGTATGTGAGCCTGAGTGACCCCAGATGGGACCCTCAGTGGCTCTCAACCTTCCCTTTTATGGCTTGATACAATGCCTGTTTAAATCAGAAGGAGAATCTCCATTGAACTGGTCTGGCTTTGAATCAGGCTTTACATTACTGTCTACTAAGAACATGGTTCATTACCAAATGTTGCTGGCAGTGGGTACTGTCTCCCACTGGTATCAGAAAATAGTTTTGCTGATCTTGTGAGTGCCAGCCATTTCTGTAGTCGAACCTACCTCATCCAATGATTGAAAAGTCGTTAGTTTTGGGGGGGTTTTCCAAGGAGCAGAGAAACATTCAGAGGACTGCATGTCTGCCAACCATTTTCCTAGTGCAGGCATATCCTAGTTGCCAGCTCTTCGATATTTTAGGGTCTACCTGCGCTAGTGGGAATTCTTCTACTGCTGCTTCTCTGACCCAGATGAACAGAGAGAGGTTCATCCCAGATACGCTTGGGTTAAGATAGCGGTGTAGCTAGGCAGTTCTGCACCGTAGGCGGTGGTGTCACACAGGGCACTGGTGCAGGCTGGCATAGGTATAGCAGAGCAAGCCAGGCATTAATGCAGAAGCCGCTGCCAAAATGTGCGTTGAGCAGTGATTTAAAAGCTGAAATTCTGCATCAAAAAAGGAGGTCTGAGGGTTAATTGACACCTCCTGAAGCAACGGCCTCCCTGGGAGTGAACCTCCCACCAGTGCCAGCCCTGCGGCTGCTGCTCTGCCTTCCCTGTCCATCGTGTGCCTAGCACTGGACCTGGCTGCAAGAGCCACTGTATTGAAGGTGCAGAGTGGGGAGGGCAGGGGAATGAGGTGCTCCCTCAGCTACGTTCCGGCACCCCCACTTAGGCAGCACACAAGGCTCAAGCCCTGCTCACTACTGGTTAGAGCTCTTTTGGCAAATATCACTTTTTCCCACTGCAAATTCATTTTTTTTCAAAGGGCATTCCCAGTCAGGAAATCACTGCAACAGAAAATCCACAACCCACTCTAATCAGTACATCCAAAGGCCATTTGTCTACTCTCAACTTGTGGAGCTGCACATGCAATGTGTGTGTAACATTCAACATTTTCTTAATATAGATGAAACTTAGTTGATGTCTTGATGAGTAATGGTTTACTTCCATCCAGCAGGGTGAGATGAAGAAAAATCTATACTTCTGCCTGGCGGAGAAACCACACCATGACTGGTTATGGGCACATAGACTGGTTTAAATGCAGTTTAAACCTGAAGTAGACAGACATAAAAGCCTGTTAAATCACTTTAAAATTTCTTCGAACAAGTCAGAATTGTACTTGGAACATCAAGTACTCTTTTGAAATAGTTTACTGTGAAACAGTTCAGTATTATGTGTGGATGCCAACCTTGCAGTGACATGGGTCTAGTTGGTCCCCCAGGCATCCCACACTTCATCACTCATCACCCCCCTTTCCTCCTCCCTTCCTCTCCCTCCCACTGTACATGGCTGGAACTCTGCTGCTTGTTTTTCCCCTTTTGTTGGCACTCTTTATCCATGAAGTCCCTTGCACTGCTATCTTTCTAACAACCAGCCCCTCATCACGCACTCCACAACCCCTGGGAGCCCAAAAACATAGGTCTAAGCATTCACTCCCCCTCTTAGATACCCCAAGTCAAGCAAGCACACTTCAGAGTTCAGTCAAGTACAGGCAACTGAACTTTATTGAACTCATGTTTAGGAGAGAAGAGAAAGAAAAGTACAAACACCCCCAGCCACAAGTCACCCACCCATCCAGACCCTCCCAAAGCATAGAACAGGGCACTACATATGTGGACACCTCTGGCCTCCAACAATTATGAGCCAGTTCCCAATCAGCAGCATTTTGAAAAGGTTCACTTGTGATATATATTCACATTCACTGTGAACACATGTCCATTGTCAGAGCATGGACATGGATAGATACCCCTGATACACATAATGACTAGCTTGATCTCTTACTACAGGAAAGGTTACATAGACCCAGATTTTTTAAGGGAATTTAAAGGTATTTTGGCACTACTCCACTGAGTCTCCAGACTTTCTTTGCACTGCAGACAGACACTTCTAGGGATCTAGCCATGAAGGAATTAAGCAGCTTCTTTTAATTTTCAAGAGACTTAAGGCCAGGTTTTAAAGGTATTTAGATGCCTAATCTGCATTTAGTGAGTGGGATCTTAGGGCCTAAATACCTGTAAATATATGGGCTTTAGACATGAATTGCAGAAGATCTGAAGTTCCCATGTACTTGAAATTATGGAAGTTGGGCCCTTTGTTTCTTGTCTTAATGTTAATTTACATGAGGGGCTGGGAATAAAGTGGTGCCACTTTGCCCTTGAATCAAACCCACAAGCACTATGTCCCGAAAATGTTCTCAGTCAGACAGGTAACTCACCTGAGTGTCTCGTGCTATCGGATGTTTTTAAAAGACAGTTGGATAAAATGACAATTTTTTTTAAATACTTGGGTGGTGAGTAGTAACATGGAGCTCTTTTCATTGGCAATCAGTCAGTGCATCATTTTTGTGTAGTATCATACAGCTGGTGGGTACATCGCCATTAACTTTCAGGGAGCTATGCATATCTGCAGCTGGGAGACTTTAGTCTGCAACGTACTTTCAAACATATTTAAGTCAGTGAGTTATCTTAAAGAATGAAATGACCCTTTAATTCATGTTCTTACTGGTGTGGAGACTGGCAGTATCTCGGCTGACATTTTCCTAGCAAGACCTTGGCTTTCAGCTTGTGTGTTGATCAAAAAATATGTATAATGATTGTAAGAATGCAGATACAATCAATATATGTGGCAACAGGGAGAAAACTGGCAGGTGTTAAACTGTAGTGGATAAATGTTTTTTTTCTAGTACTTATTTCTAAGTTCTGGAATTTTTACTAAGTGTTTGTCTTTATGGAAAATGGGACATAGCACTAATAGCAGAGTTCAGTGTTTATGCTGCCCCTCTCTTCTCGCAGGTCTAAGGCCATACAAAACTTTAACAGTATTTCCCCAAACCAAGTAAAATAAGTCTGAAACATGATGTCACTAAAAGTCACAAATGTGGCTTAGCAAATCTGGGCCAAGTTCCAGATGAACTCAGATGAAGTCTGGTTTTGGTGTACACATCTACATATCTTTGCATAATTTCTACATATCTTTGCATAATGTCACTACTTCTAAAAATATGGGTTTGCTTGTAGGAAAACAGCTCCAGGTAGGGCTCATCATAGCTGCAAACCTGGAAAAATGTTGCAAGAAACTTTACAAAAAGAAGTCACCTGCCTCTCATGTCACACATCTGTGACAATTACTGAATGTATTGTAGCTAGAGATATGCATGGACCTACTCCAACTGTTATTGATTTACTAGATGTTAACTGGCCGGGTAGCAGCATTGCTGAGAAAAGATCTTAGGATTCTTGTGGATCACTAATTCGATATGAGTTACCAATGCGATACAGTTGTAAAAAAAGCAAGTGCAATTTTGGGCTGCATCAACAACAGTAATAAATGTAAGACATGGCAGGTGATAGTGCCACTCTACTTGGTGCTGGTTGGGCGTCATATAAAGTAGTGTATGCAGTTCTGTGCTCCACACTTCTAAGGATGTGAAATTAGAGAAGGTCCACACTTAGGTGACAAAACCAATCAAGGGACTAGAAGGCAAACATCACTAGAAAAGTTGAAAGAACTGTGCTTGCAGAAAAGGCAATTAAGGGGACATAATTTCATAGATTTCATAGACATTAGGGCTGGAAGGGACCTCAGAAGTTCATTGAGTCCAGCCCCCTGCTCCAGGGGCAGGAACTCAGCAGAGGTCATAGGATCCCAGCGAGATAAACATCCAAATTTCTCTTGAAGGCATTCAAAGTAGGCGCTTGAACCACCTCTGGCAGCAGTCTATTCCAGACCTTGGGGGCTTGGACAGTAAAGAAGTTCTTCCTTATGTCCAGCCTGAAACAGTCATGAAGGAGTTTATAACCGTTTGACCTTGTCATCCCCTGGGGCGCTCTGGTGAACAGGAGTTCCCCCAGATCCTGGTGAGCACCCCTGATAAACTTATAGGCAGCCACCAGATCACCCCTGAGCCTGCGCTTTTCCAGGCTGAAGAGTCCCATAGCTCTCAGCCTGTCATCATAAGGTCTGTTTTCCTGACTTCTGATCATGCGCGTGGCTCTCCTCTGGACTCTCTCAAGCTTCTCCACATCCTTTTTAAATTGTGGAGCCCAAAACTGGATGCAGTACTCCAGTTGTGGCCTCACCAGGGCCGAATATGACAGGAGAATGACGTCCCGAGATTTACTTGAGAAGCATCTATGGATGCAAGCCAGCGTTTTGCTCGCTTTACTAGCCACAGCATCACACTGAAGGCTCATGTTCATATTGTGGTCAATCATGACCACCAAGTCCTTTTCATCCGTAGTGCTAGCCAATGTAGCACTGCCAAGCCTGTAAGCATGCTGCTGGTTTTTTCTCCCAAGGTGGAGGACCTTGCATTTTTTGGTGTTAAACACCATCAGGTTCTCGTCCGCCCATTTTCTGTGCCTGTCAAGGTCAGCCTGGATTACCCTCCTGTCCTCATGTATGGATGCTTTACCCCAGAGTTTGGTGTCATTGGCGAACTTGGCCAGTCCGCTTCTGATACCAATGTCCACATCATTAATGAAGATGTTGAATAGTGTTGGTCCAAGGACAGAGCCTTGTGGGACCCCACTGGTCACAGCACACCACGACGATTGACTTCTGTCAACAACCACCCTCTGGGTCCGACCATGGAGCCAATTTCCCAGCCAGTGGATCATGGTGAAGCCAAGGCCGCAGTTGGCCAGTTTTGCTAGGAGGTGATCATGGGATACCAGATCGAAGGCTTTTTTGAAGTCAAGATATACGACATCAATGATAGAAGTCTTCAAAGACCAGAAAGGCTGCCATACAGAAAACTCCCTTGGTCCAGAGCATAAGATGTGAAGCAATGGCTTTAAATTTCAGTGAAACAGGTTAAGATTATAGCTCAGGATAACTTCCTTACTGTTAGTATAGTAAGGCAGTGGAATAGACTGTACTGGGAGGTTGTGAATTCTCCTTCATAGGAGGTTTTCAGAGAAGAGATTGGATAAGCTTTGGTCAAGGACAGTTTAGGAATGGCATTCCTGCATTTGATCAGAGGATGGCAGCAGATGGCCCTTGAGATCCCTTCCTAGCTTATGACTAGAGGGAGCTGGAACAGATCCCCCACATCCCTATTGGATGCAATCTGCCTTGCCAATGCAGCTGCAATTCTCACCTGCTATTAGCTGTCACCTTGCAAGACAAGATACCTGTGTGAAGTGATTGGAAGTGCCTTTAATACCTGGTGTGGTGAATCTCCATGCAGTGAAGCTGCCAAATGACAGCTTCTTCCCAGTATTTATTGATTGGGTGTGTGGAAGGCAGGAGCACAGATATTCCTTGGTCTGTGACTCCCTGTATTCAAAGCCTGCTGCTTCCAGCTGGGTGGAGGTGTTGCCAGAGGAATTTCTGGATCTCCTTCCAGGAATGCTCCTGTGCTGCAACATGGGACTGGGGTTCCCCTCCCCATACCACAGGCCTGAAGAAAAAGAAGCTCCATGAGTGGTGGCAGAAAGGTGACCCTGGCGGCTCAATCAGGTGTCCAGCACCTGGATAGCAAAGCATTCCATAGTTCTTTCTTCCATGCCTCCTCATCCTCTCCATCGCTTTCTCGGCAAATGCTTTGCTGTTGTAGTTCCTGTCGTTCTCTCCCACAATGAAGAGGATTTTGGCCTCAGCTTGTTCTACAGGTAGGATGCTCTCTTGACTTTCTTCAGTGTGAATGACATTGACCATGTTAGAGAGTTCCATCAGTCCCAGGGGTGTGAACCGGATATATTCTATCTTGTAAGGGATTGGATTGATATGCAGATTCCGGTAGCGGAGTGGCATCCCATGGAGGGCATGGGTTGAGTTAATAGAAACTACTGCTTTGATCTTGGGCAAAAATGATGCCATGGCCAGTGCAATCTCAGCACCTTTGGATATTGAGACCAAGCCAACCCCTGGCCCTCCTACCTACAAACACCAAAGAGAAATGGGTTAAGGAGTTTTCAAAAATGCACCCCTGAACTGTGCAAGGCAGTATTCAAGATTGCACATGCACGTACATGCCATGTAGTTACAAATGGCCAATTAGCTACATGCAAAGGTACAGTCTTGCACTTGGAACTGGCACATTCATGCAGATAAACCCATAAAATTGTGAATATTAATCCCAAACAACCACTTTTCAAAATCCATCAATCTTCAGAAAAATGAATGAATTCCCCATTTTTTACTAGTAGAATGTGGCTGTGATAATTATCCGGGGAACTAGTTCTGCCCCATTTCCCCTGCGGTGCACATGTCAGTTGTACCTGTGCCTTTTGGCAGGTAGGCAGACTTTGATGGCTGTCTTGACCCTACTTCCTTCCTTATTCACAGTGCGTACTACTGGGAGAGAGTCAAGTCATGACCTCTGCAGCTGTTTTCTTACTGGCCTGCTCTATGGTGTTGGATAGGGGTCAGGTCGGCAAACTACAGCCCACAGAACTGTGCTTTGGCCGCAATCAGTGACAGGAAGCTCTGACCACACCACAGCTGGTCAGTGGAAACTTTGGTGGGAGTTGGGGGATGCTCTGCCTGTTCCATATCACAGTGGAGCAGTGGGGGCTTTGGCAGAACATAAGCTCCACCCACACCACACCACACCACACCACACCACACCTGGGTAGCAGGGAGAAGCATTAGAGGTGCTAATACCAGCCTATTCAGACCCAAGTTAAGTCATTCCTTCCCACTGCCAAAAAAGGCTGCCAATTGGGAATACAGTAATCTATGGAGAAGGCCATTTATGAGAGAGAGTCTACCAAAGATCAAACACAGCAAGAGGAGAATGAAGCACTGTATGTGGCCCTCATTGTCCTCCCTAGGAGGTGGGGAATGCCCTGTTAATGATCACAGGAAGAGTGTGAAGGGTCACAGTCTGCAGAGGTGTTTTGGCTGTGTTCA